GTAGCTCTAAATAATATTTGTCTCTTTACTATCCCTTTTAGTCCCTGCTCGTTAGGTATGTCATTTACTGTTTCCTTCTTATCGAGTAACATGTCTAACCAGTTTGTGTAAACAGATAGCAGGACATCGACTGGAAAGAATAGGAAGGTTGCAAAAGTGGATATTAAATGGGCTATAGGTTTTGTGAAAGCAAGTAATTACAGATACTCACTTTTTGCCAGATTAGGTTCCATACATTTCTGGAGAAGAAGAAGAAGAAGAAAAAAAAAAACAGATGTCGGCAGTTGCTAGATTCGGCAACTTTTGAAATAATATATTTTGAATTTCATTACTTGCATCTTTTTGGTTACTTTTAAAATAAAAAAAAATATCTGACCACCTCTCTCTCTCTCTCTCTCTCTCTCTCTCTCTCTCTCAAAAGAGCGTTTCTTTTGTTGTGGAGCAGTCGTTAGCAAGCAAGTCTAATTCTAGCAAATCATTACGACTGTAGTGAGTTCGACCCTCACTAGGTGTTCAATACTTGTGACTTTGCACCAATTTGAGCTAAATAAGCATATGGGTACCTCGTCGTGGAGTAATGACTATGAGAAACTATATATAAGATCGTTAGGTATGTTAGTCGCTGATTCCCTCTGTTAGCGAGTAACTTACTGAACAGTTCGTGTAAATGAATGACAATATATAGATTGAAAGGGATAGTAAGGGAATAAAAGTGGATATTAAATGAGGGATCAGTTTTCTTTTACAATCAAGTAATAAAAAGATCCCCCTTTTTTTGCCTAAGAAGAATTCATATTTTCTGAAAACAAGAGCAATCCTCACAATAAAAACAACAAAAGTAAAAAAACAGTAAAAATAAAAACAACAAAAGTAAAAAAACAGTAAAAATAAAAAACAACAAAAGTAAAAGAAACACTAAAAATAAAAAAAACATTAAAAGTAAAAAAATAAATAAATAAATAAATAAAAACAACACCAAAGGCCAACAATAAAAAAAGATTTGCAGCGTTTGTCAAATTGTGCTAATTTTAAAAAACTCAGTGCCAATAAATTTTAAATTTTTCTTACTTGCGAATTTTTAGATGACTTTAACAAAAAATAACCTGGACTAACACGGGGTACAAAAAAGATGGAAGTAATTCAAAGGTAGCCCACTTCGTTACTTATAGCCCAGCTTGTTAACACAAATTGGATGATCTGTTTGTATTCTGAAATCCTACACAATCGTTTTTTGTTTTTCTTTTTAATTCTCTCGGACAATTTCTTGTTTGTGCATTTGTCACTGATCTGCAGGTGAAAGTCGAATCATTTGTACAATTCTCAGCATATATATATATATATATATATATATATATATATATATATATATATATGCTCTACGGTTGTATTGAGCTCTTTTGTTAGTTAGTTGTTACTCGTATCGGGGTTTTTTTCTTTGGGCTTCAGACCTGCATCTGTGCGATTTTTGTCGGCAGAAGTTCATGTTTGTAGCTCTTTCTTTTTTAAAACCTTTTTTCCCTCGAGATTGATTTGATTAGCAAATCAAAAATTCGAGGGTTTTTCGAAACGAGTCTAGTTATCTATATATATATATATATATATATATATATGGAGGACTATCCCGACATTTTTCGACGTATGAGGAGGGTTCAGTAGCTCAGTTCTTAGAACAGAATAGCCAGACTAGCCGCACATATGATTTGATTCTAGCTTACAGAACCAAACCAACCACTCTTTTTAGGAAGAGTCGAATACTGGAACACAGAATGCTACAAGGTCCCCAAACAACCTCGGTTTTAGAATTGACAGTTGTCCTTCTCTTAGACCGGTTGCCAAGTAAGGCTGTAGCACGCAGTCTGTCCTGCTATTTACCCATAGCTTCAGAAAGTTATAGTTTCATAACTTTGCCAAGGATATTTAAGCGTAAGTGCATGTAATGAACTCGGCCAGAATATCTATCTCAATGTCTTCAAATATATATCCTTATCAGATCTATCGACATATAGTTATAAGATAGATAACTCAAACGGCTAGATATAAGCAAGCATATATGCGTGTGCCCGACGAGCTGGTAATCCAGTGAAACTTTAGTCGCACACCAAAACGTAGGTACACGTATATGTTCTAATATATATATACACTTTACTTTAGGATACTACATCGAAAACATGTCAAAATCGCTACACAATTGCAATCGTGTTTCGATGTGTATACAACGCATCTCATTAGGTGATTGTAAATTGACAATCGCTTGATTAGATACGTTGTATACGCATCGAAACACGATTGCAATTGTGTAGCGATTTTGACATGTTTTACGATGTAGTATCCTAAAATAAAGAATATTGCTCTACTTTGTATTGAGCCCTGTTTCAAATTAAATGTTACGAACGCTGGAATTGTACTCTAATCGTTCTCATCTTACCTGGGTCTATCTATTTATATATATATATATATATATATATATATATATATATATAATGTGTGTGTGACACGCACACATGCATGGAGTGACTGATAGATAAATTATTAATAAGATATTAATTGATCGAATTATTAACTTATTTCACTCCAGATGTAACAAATTTTGCTGATATACGTGCATTTGACATGGATACTTCAACAGTATCTTCGTTTCTTATGATTAACCATAATGCCGCAAAAACATTTGTTTTTTGTACTGAGTGGGAAAAATTTAATTCCCTTCATACGACAGAGGCTACTTAATATCTGACGCACACAGATACGCACACACACACACACACACACACACACACACACACACACACATATATATATATATATATATATATATATATATACTACTTGCTCGGCTGTACATGCAAAATGCCTTGTTGAATTTCTGTAGAGACGGAAGTGGGTGTATCGTCTGAGAAGTGTGAGTTTACATAAGATAAGAATGCTTTCATTTGATTTGAGGAGCATGACAGGTAATCATTGAATTTATTCACTTTTTTTCTTTTTTTTTTAAATTTCGACAAGCACGTTCTTTTTGCGGCTGGCTGTATTGATTAATGACTTAAAGAATTCTCTGTCCGTCTCATCAAGGGGCGAGAAATTTGTACATATTAGTTGGAATAAGAAGAAATACGTCTTAGAATAAACTATGATCTTAGATTTAATTTTAAAAGGTTATTCAATAAATATCCATGGTTCATTGAATATTTAGAATTAAAATTAGGCGTTAAAACACACACGTACGCACTTAACTGATGAGTTTCCGTTTAAGAAGATTAACTTATATCCTGATGGCGTCAGTTTAAATTTACGTTATATTTTACGCATGCATTTAAACTATAACTATAATTTTAGAAAGTTAAAATTTCACTGAAATGTTATTGAAAATGTCGAATATTTTATCAGAAATCAAGAAAATATGAATTTCAAGCAAAATAGTTCAAATATATAGAACAAAAAGAAGGCGTTAGCGTTATCCATATTCCCCAGGCGCCAGGATGAATTAGTTCCTCTTTTTCCCCATGTATCTAAATTATAATTATAAACTATTTTGGAAAGTTCTATTGAAAAATGTCTAAAAAAAAAAAATAAGCAGAAATATCCTACGAAGTAATCAAAAGCAACATTAACATGTAACAATTATACAATAGCAAAGTATAAATATTTACATTATTCGGATTGTTGTCCTCATCTTTATTGTCATATTTACGACATTTCGGCCGTTGTATGCTCCGGCCTTCTTCACATGATGTACGTTGGAATTCCGAACCGAACCCTTTATTTCATCTACTGTGTATATTGTTCTAGTTCCCCGTGCTCTGCTTTTTCTGGATATTCCAGTTTCAGTTATTTCCCTTTAGTAACTGAACTCTCCTGTGGCAAAGAATTGAACTCACAACTCTTTGGTTCACGTCACTGGATTACTTCAACCAAAGCTTTTATCCATGGCTCAGTGGATAAAAGCTTTGATTGACCCAAAGAGTCCTGAGTTCAATATCTGACCATAGCGGAGGTGAACGAAAACTTGGAAATGATCTATAATATGGAATCATTTCGTTTGTAAGGATCCACGTCTTTCTGTTTGAATTAAGCCAAAAAATGAAGACGTTTTTGTTGACTGATCAGTAGATAGATTCGTATTAGTGACAAAATAACACTTTTATTAGTCTTGCAAATTTAACAAAAGAATAAGTTTGACCTTTGAGGCCTTCATGAAAAGGACAAAAGTGTACGCTTTAGTCCTTCCCCTTCACTGGATATCTCTGTTTCAGAATTTCTCTAACTAATCGTATGAGTAAAACTAAGATTTTTTAGAACTTATAGGCTTAGAATTTAGGTTTACCTGGTATGTTATGGCTGGCGAAATATATATATAATTAAAAAAATTAACTGAAATCTGTTGGAAAATTTTGAAGTTTTCATTTGAAATCAAGAAAATACTATAAACAAAATGATCACTATATGATAAGAAATGTAAAACAAAGTAAGTGTCATTTTAAACTGACGCCAGGAAGATATGTATGAAGATATTTTAATTTAAAATATCTCTCGAGTGTAAATCGGCGTGTTCTCAAGCTTCCGGGAATAAAACTATTAATATAATTCATTTTCATTAAAACTCTGTATGCTGATATACATAGGGCAGATCTTCATTACTTGTAAAGTTTCAGCCTATTCATAGAGTCGTAAAGAGATGATTGCAAATAGTAGGATATCTTTACATGTAAATATGTTTCCGCTTAGATATATTTGGGTGGTCATATCAGTTTTTGTGTGTGTGTGATTGATTGATTTGTCTCTTACAGCTTATTTTTAGATTGTAAGAAATTTTTGGAGATAATTTACTGATACAAGTCTTACTAATTAACTCATAGCTGGGGAGAGAGAGTGGAGGTGGAGTCATGCCTTTTCCCAAGGGTATTTACGCGTTAGTGAATATAACAAACCCGAATGGAATTGGAATTCAGCTCTCCGATTTCGAATTCCGAGCCGTCATCCATTACACCACCCGCACACCAAAGCTTACAGTACCTGGTTTTCCCATACGGTTACCCATCTAGATACTGTTCAGGCTCGACGTTGCTTAAATTCGGCGAACGGATGAGAACTGGTGTTTTAGCGTGGCGTGGCTGTAACATTGCGCATACGCCTAATAAGAACTTTAATTCAAAATTTTATATAAAAATATAATTATTTTTATTTCATTTTTTCCAAACAAGATATAAATATGTTTATAATAAAGACGAGTCACACACACACACACACACACACACAGAGAGTGTGTGTCACAATATATATATTATTTGTGCGTGTGTGCAATATATTTTTACATCACCAGAAGTGGCTATACGTAGTGGACTCTTCTGATAACGTAAGAAAAATATAATTTACTGTTATTTTAAACACGAAAAATTCAATGCCATCATTTGTCTGCCTTAAATTTAGCTCTCAGATGAATGGATGTTGTATAATTGCATTATACTTATAGAATAGCAAAACCCAAATGTATCTATTAAGTTTCTTAGGTAAACTAGTATTATAGTTATGGCCATATAAACTAGTATTATCAGTATGGCCATATAAACTAGTATTATCAGTATGGCCATATAAACTAGTGTTATAGGTATGGCCATATAAACTAGTATATATGGATGACTAGTAATCCCGATTCAAATTCCAGCCAAGTCTATTGCGTTCATTTTGAACTGATGTCCTTAATTGATTAAGCAGTGGTACAGACTAGGTTGTGTAGCTTTCGGGGTGGTAGCGTTGTCTAAGAGAAAGAAAACTTTAAATTTAAACCGTGTCTTGAAGCGCGTAAAGGTTATTATTTGCATTGAAGCTTGGTCTGGCTATTCACTGTCACTGGTATTCTACTAGTTGTATGGATCCTGATATGGGTGTCAAAAAGATGAGCTTGGATCCGTTCACTCATCTAAAAAGGAATGAAAAAGTTAATTGACGCAAACCCTTTTCTTTGGAAGGGGACACCCATTACCTCCTAGTTTATATATATATATATATATATATATATATATATATATATATATATATATTTATTTAAAAATTATAACATAAGTATGTTATAACATCCCTAAAAAAAATAGCCATTGTGTTTCAACACTTTGGGTGTCTTATCACGTGATGGTGTTGATTGTAAAATAAAAACTTTTTAAAGAGTTTAAAATCAATCACTATCCCCGCTGGGGAGGGGGGTTATATTCTTACGTAAGATGTAATGGTCAATCAAATTGCAAGTATATGATAATGCAAATAACGCGATAACGGATCCTAGATGCAATTTATTAATGCTTTAAAATTAATATTAGATTCTAAAAGAAATCAGGATAACTAATTAATCTCCAATTCATTATGTAATTAAAAAAGATAAAAGTTATTAATATTAAATTCTAAATATAACCATGCATCAAGTTTAGAAACTTACAAAATTATTCAAAGAAAAAAAAACGGAGAAAATACGCCTAAATTTTCATGTATTGTTCTTCGAAATATGTTAAGTTTTCCGTCCGGATCTGAGCGGAAGTAAGAGATGCAATATATGGCTACAAAATTAGCTACATTGACAGGGTTGTGATTAGAGATTTAGTGGACGAAGGAGAAAGGTTTATTGGTGACAAGACAGACAGACATCACGTCATAATACACAAACACATAAATATGATTGAATATATGAGCACGCAGATATAAATACTTGTATTCGGGTGTGTGTGTGTGTGTGTGTGTGTGTGTGTGTGTGTGTGTGTGTGTGTGTACATGATATTCCACGTCGATAGCACGACTCGGAGTTTCATGCAAAAACGCAATCTTCAGATGCAAAATACTCACTGGCTGTTAAACGTTATGAAATTCGCGTACTTAATAGCTGTTATATAACGTTGAACACTATTTTTATAACACCTGAGAAAAGAATATGCATATACAAGTATATGTGCGTATACGTATGTTTTTTAATCACACACACGCACACACGTGTATATATATATATATATATTGAAATCCGTGAACACATCGACCAGCACAGCGTGAACGCCCAAAGTACAACTATCAACATAAGACATATTAGTGGATAACACCAAAATATTCTACGGCACCCAATGTAAGGAAAGACTCAAAAACCTAGAAACAATTATTATACAAAATAAACAGCCATCATTTAATAAAATATCATTCACCATTGGAAACGGTAATTTGAAGTGCATATGCCATATTTAATGTATTCATATATTATATTAGCATAGGAAAAATACACATAAATTAATATAAACAATAAATAAATAAATATAAACAATAAATAAACATAAAATAAATAAAATAAAATAAATCGCATTCTTTTTGTTGCCGCGTTTGCCATAACCGTCACACGCCATTTTAGACAATTTCAAACTTCCAAAGGAATATCAGGACGAAGACAAAGGAATTCTAACTACAACATAGTCACCACATTGGTTCTTGATAATGACTGCGATGTTCGAAAGTACTTGAACAAAAATGACAAAATATGAACTTTCGGCACTCTTTCACATCTTTGACCACAATACTTAACACCTTATTTGAAAATTAGAAAAAATATAATAAAAAAAATAAGCAGATAGATCTAGCTAGTTCTTTTTAACTGATATATATTCAAAAGGTTCTACATTGAAAAAAATGAATGATCAATATATTTTATATATGGAATTTTAATGATCGTTTAAGAATATTACTATTAAAAATTAATATGAATGTTAGCCCTTTCATGGTTCAGAAATGATATTTATGAATCGTGTTGAAATTCTGTCTGAGTTAGTTCGGGCTTTACTTTGTAACCTTTTTTTAAAATAATGTATCCAGGGAAAAAGAGATATATTCATGCCTTTCTTAAGGGTATTATTGAGAAGTGAACGCAAAGTACTGTCAGAATTTGAAATTGAGGGCCATTTCCAATTTCCGCGCTTATAATTGTTACGCTACTTAAAAAGCACGAGTCCTCTATTTTCGGAAGGCTATATTAAGGATGACTTTTTTTTATATTAATACCATGTAATCCAGTGCAACCTTCTGCAGATTTTGTTTGGAGATTTACATTGCCAAGTAACATCGTTTTGCCTCGAGAACACGGCACAGTGCGCTGATAATCTGTCAGGTTATAGGATAACTGCGTTTAAGATTTTTGCACAGAAAAACATTGTTGTTGAAATTGCGTCCTATTAATTCTATCTAAAATACTTTTATTGTGTATATTGCAGTGTACAATTCAGCGTAAGTTGACTTAAAGAGCATGTGAATAGTAGTAGTAGTAGTAGTAGTAGTAGTAATAATAATATAAATGCATCGACGCAGGCTGACTGTGGTCGAGATTATAGGGATTATTGGGAACTCCGTGAATTCTTTTCGATGTCTGCATACGTGCTAATTCAAGGTTACATAGTTTTTTTTTGTTTTTTTTTTAAATTTAGAGTTGTCTTTCTCTTAAACTGATTGCCACCCAAGGCTGAAGAACCCAGTCTGTCCTGTGTTGATGGGAGTAAAGGATATTTGTGCGAAAGTGAATGTAATGAACTTTTCTATTTGTTTCATGCAAATAGAAGAGTTCATTATGTAAAAAAAAAAATAGAAGAGTTTTTATGTAAAAAAAAAAAGCTCTTTTAAAAGTATTTGAAGTAGAGCACTTATATATACACAAGAAAATATATATATATATATATATATATATATTTATTAAGCGGCAGGGTTTGCTTATTTTTTTTGTATTTTTCCAATTTTCGAATAAGACATTGTACATCGGGATTAAAATTGTGTATAAACTGTTTTGTGATGATATTATTTTTATGTATATTAAAAAAGCTCTTTCAAAGCTATTTACAACATTTTCGAACCTCTCAGTCATTATCAAAAACTGGGTGTTGTCGGTATGCTAGCCTACATCCTACCTAGCATTTTCTGATTTTTTTGAAAATGCTTAAATAATAATAATAATAATAGCAACAACAACAGTATAATATAATAACAACAGCAGCATAATATAATAACAACAGCAGCATAATATAATAACAACAGCAGCATAATATAATAACAACAGCAGCATAATATAATAACAACAGCAGCATAATATAATAACAACAGCAGCATAATATAATAAAAAACAACAAAGTAATAATAATATAATAACAATTAACTCCAATTAACTGTTACGCATGACGTAATTTTGGATAAATTCAAATTCCAACGTCTCTAAATAATGCCAGTATGTAGCCAAGGAAAGCTTGTCTACTCTTCTGATAATGACTGCCAAGTTCACTAGTTCTTGATAATGATTGATAAATTCGAATCTACTTCAAGAAAACAAAACAAAATATGAACTTCTAACTGTTTATCCACAATTTTGATTTTCTCTCTCTCTCCTTTTCCTCTCCCTTCTTTTCCTCTCGCCCCTCTCTCTCTCTCTCTCTATATATATATATATGTAAATGGGTGCGCGTAATCAGATTGCACATAATCTAAAGAATTTTAAGAATAAACACGTACACACTAATATTTTGATATGAAGATAGAAATAAATTGTTTCAACGGAATTAATTTAATTTAATTATCAAATTAGCTTTGCGGCCTAAAGTCGTCTGTTCCAATCAATTCTGCTCTCAGATTTTATCTGAAGTTGGATCAGTGACTTTTGTTTTTTTACGTGAGACCAATCCAGTTGGTTGTTATCAACGAACCAAAACAACCCTAATGTATATCAATAGTTTTGCTTACAAAAATCCTCTAAAAAACAGCAAATTAAAAAGAAGCACGAAAATAATAATAATAATAATAATAATAATAATACCGTCACAGGCACAAATAAAATCCCTACAACTTCGTTTGTATATTGGGCGTCTACTGTAAACTAATGTTTTGTAAGTTAACCTCGCTGGCCACTGCGCTTTCAGCAGTGGATAAAGACCTCCAAAATTGGCCACCTACCAAGTAAATGTTTCGAGGGTCAAATATAAACGACTAATTTACTAATAAACGACTAATTTACCTATTTACGAATCAAGTAAATGTTTACAGACTCAAATATAAATGACTATTATGTACCGATTCCCAAATTAAGTAAATGCTCAAAAAAAAATAAAAAAA